ACACACACACACACACACACACACACACCCTGTCAGGTCCTGCATCCTCGCAAATTCCCTGAACGCTGGTCTAGCCTGTCCCTCATCCCCTCTGTCACCTTTCCTGAGCCCTGACCATCAGCCTCAGCTTCATCCTGGGGCTGATCCAGTGAGAGCATAACCCCGCTTCTCTCCTGCCAGGGACCATGGCTCCCACCCTCCGTGTCTAGAGGAGGCCTGGGAGGATGGGAGGAAGTACCTCCCTTCCAGATATTGCGAGAACTTGGGGCACTCCCCTCAGACCCCGAGCTGCGGCCCCAGGCTTGAGTTTGTCAGGTCTTCATCTGGGGTGCGCATTTTGAATGCATGCCTTCAACCACCGCTTCTGAGCACAAAGGATGGGCCATACGAGGGCTGGGGGCCCAAACGGAAACTGCATAGACACAGGCTCTGTCCTCCTGGGACTCCAGGACAGTGGAGAGATGTGGGGTGGGGACCTCCACTTCCAGGGCCACTGCCTGCCCAGGGCACACGTTGCGAAGTGAATGGTGTCTTAGTTCAAAATAGAGAACGGTACTCCTTTCCTAGGTGGGCATGGCCCACGCCAAGGTACAGGACTTGGTGAGTGGAGGGCAAGCCAGACTTGATGTCTGGCTCTCATGCCCCCTTGGCTGGTACCTTGTGCAGTGAACAACCTGGGCAGCCCTCTGTGACGTCCTTTTCATTCTGCCCAGACCTCCTTCACTCTGCAGGGCAATTGTTTCCACAGCTGTGGTTTCCCAAGGGCAGGGACCCGGTCCTCCTTGGGGCTGTGTTTCTCCACCCACCGCAGCCCAGCCCAGGGTCTGGCCCAAAGCAGATGTCATTATGTTTGTTGATGAATCCTTCTCCAAATAGTCTTGAGCAACTGCTGTCTTCCTGGACCTTGCTCTGTTCACTCTTTAGGGGAATGGGGAGGGGATGACACAAAAGGAGCTCAGAACAGGGCGCTTACCCTCCAAGTCGTCACAAGCCCAGGCAGGAGATAAGACCTGGTCCAAGTGGTGGTAACCCGGACTGGTGGGAGATAAGGGGTGGAGGGGGTGTCAGTCCAGGGCTATGGCCCCAGAGGAAGGGTCCTCAGCCCGGGAGGACCGGTGGGCTGGGGAGACTCTTGAGCGAGGCTTTGAAGGACAAGTGTGGGGTCATTATCACCACCCCAATTACTAGCCAAAAATATGCCATGATCTATGCAGCTGCTTAGGACTCCCAAGGCCTCACTAGCTCCTCCCACAACTCCTCAGTTGAAAAGGATGGGCTAAGACAAGTTAAGGAACCTGCCCAATGTCACACAGCCAGGGATGGAGGGGCTGTGACCCCTTATACTGGTTTTCTGAAAAGACAGCCCAGAAACCAGAGGGGCTCTCTGGCAGCTGCAGCTACATGCTGTCGGGCAACAAGAGGAGCCTACTAGGTGCCTGACCGGCAGGTGGGGAGGAAAAAATAAAAGGTGTGTCCTCTGCCCCCAAGCCACTGCCCTTCCCAAACTTCCCCCCTCACCCCTGCCATCCTTATCCCCAGCCTGGCAGCCTTGGCCACAGACCCATCCAGAAGACTGCCAGCCTAGATGACCCAGGTCCTGACTCTGGACTTCCGTTCACTGTGTGACCAAGAATGAGTGTCTTGCCCTCTCTAAGCCTCAGATTCTACATCTGTACAACCACCAAGTTGGACAAGACAATCAGGGCCACCCCTGGGGCTGACCTTGTAGAATGCTCATGAAATTCCTCATAGTTCTATGCCAGTCCCCTGTCTGGAGCCCCGTCTCTCACCCCTCCCCCAATGCCCCTGCTGAGTGGCAAGATTCCCCCATCCCCTCCGCTCACCTGTCTGTGTCCCAGGACTGCTCTCCCAAGTTGCCCTTGAGTGCAAGGCCCAAGCCTGATGGGGCGTAGCGAACAGTCCCTGAGCTCATCGCCAGGAACACAGGGCATTTTTCTCGGGCAGGGCACTCAGTGCGTTCCTTAGCGGGGTCCATGGCTGGAAGGCCAGACCGAGAGTCCCTCTGGAGACTGCCAGGCGGGGAGGTGGCAGGAGCCTTCTCCCCACTCCCAGGCTGAGACTCACACTAACCTTTGCTATCTCTGAGGAGCAGTGGCCTGTGAGGGAGGCGCCTCCCAGACAGGCCTCTATCTCCTTAAACCCAGTAATTATTAACTCCCGTGGCTCAGCGGGCAGCAGATGATGCTGGGCCCCCCTCCTAAGGAAGGTGAGATACCTTGAAGGGAGGTGGGAGCCTCCCTCTACATACCTAAGGCCCCAGGTTTTTACCAGGCCCATGGATGGGGCTGCCTGTCCTCTCCCCACTCAGGTTGCCAAGTTGAAAAGAGCCCGTCCAGCTTTGGCCCTGTCACTAGTTGGCTATGTGGCCTTGGGCAAGGCCCCCGCTGCCCTGTGGTCCCTGGCCTCAATATCCCCTTAAAACTATTAACCACCAGCAAAAAGGGACCAGATGATGTAGCAGTAGGAACACAGACCTGGATGGAGTCAGAGAGGCTGGATTCAACCCCACTCCCAGACTGTGAACCTTTGGGCCCATTTAGGCTCTGTGCTGCAGTTTCCCCAACTATAAAATGGAATCTCTCCCTCTGAGGCACACCAGGCCAGCTGCTATCGCCCAGACATGCCCTACACACCCCTCTTCCCACTTTCCTCACACTATCCCCTCTCTGCATCCTCCACTCCAACCCACCCCCTCTGATAAAATTCTCTTTTGCTCATACCCCCTCCTCCAGGAAGCCTTCCCCTCTGGATTGCTTTTTCCTCTGCAGGCATTGGGCTGGAGCCCTCAGACACGTGGTCCACCTTGTGTCATGAAAAGTGCCCCATGGCACTGTCAGACACCCCCCACATGAACTGAGTGACCCCATGGGCAGAGGCTGGCCCGCACTCATCACCAAATCCTCAGTGGCCCCTTGCCTGGCACACAGCCAGCCTCAATCCACCCGTGGGATGGTTTGAGTGTTCCACCCTATCTCATTTGGCCTGAATTCTAATCGGGAGTTCTGCCATTCCCTTGGCTGTGTGACCTTGGGCAAGTCACTTAACCTCTCTGGGACTCAATCCCCACAACTATAAAAATGGGAACAATTCTCCCCTGTGAAGTTGTGAATATCAAAGAAGATAACATTCATGAGGTGGCAGCCACAGTGGAGACTGAGTTTCCTGTCCCCTTCTCCCTCGCCTTCCCTCTTTTTTCCTGTCAGCCTCTGAGTTCCCGCTGGGAGAAGCTGCCAGTTCCGGACTGGTAGTCACACCCCGCCTGCCCTGCGCATGGATAACAATATCTCTCACTCAAGCTTTGGGCTTCGAAGCTCTCTCAGCCTAATGTAAACCAGATGCTGGCCTCTGTTTCCTGGCAGTGAATTTTCCATGGCCTGCTCCCAACCCCTTCCTGTTTTTGCTCCTCACTGATCCTCCTGCTAAATTCTCCCGTGCCTCCACCTTCCTCTGGGCCCACCTGGAAACAATGAATGAAAAACAGGATGTGTGGAGGGGCGGGGGGGGGTCTCCCCATCACCCTGACATGGCAGGAGGTGAAGGGGCTGAGCCTAGCTGGTGACAAAGCGTACAGGCTATGGTACCTCCCTGCCAAGCCCCAGCTGTCCTCTCAGAGGGGAAACTGAGTCAGAGTTGTTCTGGGGATTGTCTAGAAAATCTGGCGACTTTCTGGACATTTAGGCACAGCTGGGACTGCATGGGAAGCTATGAGGACCTTGTCCTTGGCTGTGACTTAGGAAAATCAGAGGCAGAAGGAGCCCAACCCCCTCCTGTTGCAGGTGAGGAAACTGAGGCTTGGGGACTCATCCTGGGTCACTGGTGGGTCAGAACCAAGAGGCAGCCAGGTCTGGGACTGCTTGCCAGGAAAAGCTGCTGCCCTAAGTCACCTCTCAGGCTGCTCTCTCAGCCATTCCTGCCTGCCCTTCCCCCGCCACCGCACCAAGCCCAGTTCCAAGGGGAC